AAAGGTAAAAAAAAAAGAAATAATTTTTAGGTATTTTTTAAATATGAGTAATATAATAATTTTATTCGGACCTCTTGTTAATTATTGACCGTATTTTTGCCATTCTAGGGTATTTTTTTCATGCATAAATATTGAAGCATAAGCCGGTAACACAGCTTCCCCAGAACCACTTTAAAAAAAAAGCTGGTGGCGTTGTTCTCCATAACGTGGCTGGAGACTATCCGAAAATAAAAAACCAAGAAAATTACTCAAATCTTCCCCCCATCGTCTATAACTTTTTTTTTTTTGGGATTAAAAAATTTTTGGCGGCCATTTAAAGTGAAAACTGCTATTTTCCACTAAAAAGTTCCGCCATTTTATATGCCAAAAATGTCTAGAAAATTTGAAATTAATCTGTCAGGTCTTTGGAAAAGTAGTTTTGAGAAAAAGACGTCTAATAAACTAAAAAAAAATTACAGAAAAAAGTATCATATATTGTCAAATAATATGCAGGGTCCGAATGCACAAAAGGTCCGTTTAAAATTACTCAATCCATATTTAAGAAATAAATTCGCTTTTCACCATGAAAACCTTACATCCCCTTTCAGTTCCATTATTTATCATTTTTAATTATTATGACTTTAATTTATTTTTGATTTATAAAATGGTTATATATTGGTTATGTCTGACACATTTATGCTGCATACATATGTATATGTAATCTAATGTACTGAGTCGTAAGCAATAAAAAACTCAGTTTCGATTTTTTGATGATAAGTTATTTTGCATTTTTTTATTAATTTAGTTTAATTTTCTTTAATACAAAAATAACTTACTATCTGTTGCCTTAAATATCTTCCATTATTTTGGTATATGCAAAAAATTAAATTAACCATTTCGTTCAAAATCATTAAAATATTATTTAGGAGCCAAAGTTCATAAACCAAATGTGGTCTACCGTAGGATATCTATTTTATTACCCTTTTTAATTAACAATAAACGTTTTGATTATATTTTGGTTCATATGAACTCATAATTCATTGGCAAAATAAAAATTAAAAATTAAATTTTTTCGCCACAAATGTGTAAATATCACATAAATACGAAAAACTAATCTTAAAATTTACAGAACCTACATATGAAAACATACTTTTATTGTCTCAAAAATCAAAAAAAAAAAAATTAAAAAATGTATATTTGTATTAATTACTTTAGGAAATAAGCCATAAACAAAATTTTATTAGAAAATAATTACCACCTCCACTCAAAAATCACATTCTAAAAGCATTTCTGCGCTGTTTGCATCAGCACAGTCATTTGTGGAATGAATCAATTGGAAAATTTAGAATCTCTGCAGCTAAACTTATACATAAAACACATATTTATTTTGTGGTGGATTGTCATGGTGTCCACTCATCACCGAGCGATTTGTCAGCTTGCCAAAAATGCAGCTTCATATACAAATGTACATAACTACAACGCTTATGGTATACATATATGATAAACTGTACATAAGTATAATATGTAGATAAGTACATACTAATATATGCAAATTAGTACATAGGTTTGTTGACACATAAATATTTACCGCTTACATACAATATATACCAATATGCATATATGTATGCATATATGTATGTATATAATACATAAATGTTTGAGAAAAATATTATGACTCACACCACTTAATTTTCTCAAATGCCTCTATGTATTGGTGTCAATGAGCTTTTTCGGATATTGCATTGCTCAGCGCTACAAGGTCGCTCTTGCCATTTTGCCGGTGACTGTTCGTCGTTGGCAGTGTGATGAGTTGGCACTTGCCCAACGCTCATAAGTTGACCACACTTGGCACCGATGATGAATTGTTTGATTAGCCATTTGAAAGGATAATTGGTGACGAATGCGCATTTTGACGCGGCCCTGTCATAAATAGAAGTTTAATATCGTTCATATTTATTGGAAAAATTTCTTTTTTGAAATAAAAATTTAATTCCTAAAGATAATTTAATTTTTGATTTCCAAAAAAAAAAAAAATTATTTTTAGGGGTTAAAAAATCGTCACTAAACTATGATCTAGACATATTTGTATTATTTCTCGTCTAAGTAGTCTTCAGATTATTCATTTTATGCCAATTTTAAATTTAACGTTGAGATATACATATTTAAATAAGCAATAAATATATATAAATCGGTCATAATGGAATTTTTCAAGAAAGACCAAAGTAAATATTATCATAAAGATGGAGGTTGTCACAGAAATTTTGTTAAAATATAAGCCATTTCTCTCATTCTAAATTAAATAGTTACAAGTATGGAGTTTCAGTTTAGTGTCTGTTTATTCAGACCTTTTATGACTAAAACCGATAAGTTTTTAATATTATTTCACATTTTCATTTACTTATTGTTATTTTCTATTATATGATATTTTTATTTATACTTTATTTTTAAAAAATTATTAAGAGCGTTTAATAAATTTGTAAACTTCAATTAAAAACAATAAAATACGTTAACTTCGTTTGCACCGAAACTATAATAAACAAGGACTCGATTGCGTTCGAGCCGCTTTTTGGAAGGAAAACTGCGTGTGCACAATTTCATCAAGATCGATACCTCAAAAATAAGGAACATATTCTCATTTTTTTTTTTTTTTTTGTTTTGTTCTTTAATGCAAAATATTGGAACCATATTTCTATTTTTGTTGTGTTTCGACGTAATATGAAAAATTTTGGGTTCTCAAAATTTCAACGCTCGAAAAAAATACGTATAAACCTTTTCGTAAACAAGAATTCCTAATGTTTACGATTCCTTTGTCAACCTTCAATTGAGAAATACGTTTCGACCTGTTTTTCATAAACAAAAAATTGATATTTTTAAACAGATATTTTTTTCTTTCAAATTGGAACTATTTTCATAGAACCCTATTCAAGATATACCAAATTTATTAATTTTCTTCTAACAGTTCAATATTATTGATATTTATACCTATTAAGACTCCAGATTTTCATGAGAATCCTTTCGAATCAAAAAATAGAGTGAATATCCGCGATAACTATATATAGTTTTATAAATAAATTAACGCAAGATTCAATTAACCAAAACTCGTTTAAGCAGATAATTTACTGATTGACTGAAAATATTCCTCGCATGTGTAATTAGAAAAGCTGCGAAAGTATTATCTTAATTGTATTCAAGTTCCCAATGGTGTAATTTAATGGAATTAAAAAAGTACACTACTCTTATAAATTTTATAAGGATTTTTTGCATTTAACCTACAGAATCTATGAAGGCTTAATAATGACTCAACGGCCGACCCGCCCCAAACAATGGCAATCCTTACTTGTTTTTAATTTTTCTGATGCAACAGATTTAGTACTAAGTTATAAAATTAAGTCAGAATGAATAACTTTGAACGTTAGCCCCAAGCAAATATGTGCAAGAGGTGATGTGGCGAATCGAACACGCACATTTAAATTGTTAATTGAGTAAATTTGATTGTCCAGAGGCCCCACGTTGACTTAAAGTAACCCGTTTTGTTTCGAAAAATATGTAAATACGTTTTAATAGCTCTCAATATTTTAATAATTTTATTGGTTTTGATAATTTTCTAAAAAACCAACCGCACAAAAGTTAGAAAACCTATAAAAGTTCTTCAGAAAAATGTGCTACTTTCAAAATTACATTTTACACATATTAGAATTTGAAAATTGCTCAATGAGAAATCACAATGGAAAAGTATCTAAAAATAGGTCACATTCCACATGCCGACACTCGTTCCGTCAACCACTTGACACACATAAACTCATCACACCGGCGCATTCTAGTACCTTGTCAACTATTGGCCCGGCCCTTCACACCCAAAGAGCCATCAATCAGAAAAGTGGGTCAATATATTTGGTCGCACTAAATACACATAGACAAAATAAAAATAGGTGTCTTCAAAAATGCGAAGAGACTAAATAAAAAATATGCTCTATGTAAATTGCTTTAATGTGTTATATATATTCAACTCGCTCTAACACACGGACGCTTAGTTGAAGCAGAAGATTTCCAAAAAATTTTCAATCAAACGAGTACTTTACTCTTTTATGTGGCGACAAACAGCTGTTAGCACCTGCGCAATACTTACCTTCAGTGCGAGTATGCGAGAGAGAATTCCAGATCAGCTGTTTCGAATTCGAAATCTCCCATTATTAATTCAAGCAATGTTGTGGCTATTTTTAAGGATGTTATTTTCGCAATTGAAAATAATAACATGAAAAGTGAGCCGAATTGTAATGAACTTTTTAGCAATCTAAAAAACAAAAACAACACAGCGGTGAGTCATAAATTGGGGAAGCGTTCATTGGTAGTCTTAGAAAATAAGATGAAAAGGCGATACTAAAAAATTCCCAAATAGTGACATTGGCAGTCAAGAGCAATGCGCCTCGGGGCACTCGAACTTAAAAAAAAAAATTTTTAAGACTTTAAGAGCCCCTACTCTCTTATTTTCACACATACTACTTGTAAACTATGTAGGATATACTACATATATATGTATGGCACATACATATCCCATATCATATATGTATGTATATAATATATATGCCCTCAAATTTATTTAAAAACCCTATATTTTGGAAACTCTTGTTTTGAGTACGAAATTTTTTATTTCCTTTCAACTTTTTTTTTCAATTTTCTTATTTTGATTTTCAACTTTCAACTTTTTTTTTTCAATTTTCTTATTTTGATTTTGAATTTATAGACAGTTTTAAAATTTTCATTTCAAAATTCTCCCCTATTCTAAATATTCTTTTTCCGGCACGTAAACAAAAATTTTCCGTGAAAATTCTAAACAAGCTTTTAGAGCTTGTCCAAATTCTCAGTAAAGAACCGCTGCTCTTTAAATGATTCCATCATGAAAAATGGTGCGCATTTTATTCGCAAATTCTTAAGAAAATATTTCCGCTGCTTCTCTTGTAAGCATAAAGCCACGATTTCTAAATAAAACTAATTGATTTCTTAAATTCTCTATTCTCTTACAGTACAACATGTTGGCGCAGGCGGTGCCTACACTCCGCCCGCACTGACTCACGTCTACGGTCAAGGCGATATTTCACCACCGATCTTCGAGCAAATTTTCAAGAATGCCCGTTTCGCTCAGGGCGGCAATGCCCTGTTCGAGGGTAAACTCCGTGGCAATCCAAAGCCATTCGTTTCTTGGACCCGAAAAGGCGCACCACTTCTCGAGTCGCAAAAGTTTCGTATGAGCTACAATGAGGCCACCGGTGAAGTGTCGCTACTGATTAATCAAATCGGACCCGGCGACGAAGGTGAATACACATGCACCGCACGCAATCAATATGGTGAGGCCATATGCAGTGTTTACATTCAGCCAGAGGGCGCAGCAATGCCTGTACTGCAGCCTGTGCAAAAATTCGAAAAATCATTGTATACCAACGGCTATTCGTACACTTCCGTCGAGGAGGAGTTCCGTGTCGATACATTTGAGTATCGTTTGTTACGTGAAGTACAATATCGTGAGGCTATTACACGTCGTTCGGCATACGAGCTGGATCAATATTTGACGCAAGAATTGGATCGTACCATGGGTCCAGCACATGCGCCACAAATTAGTCAGAAACCACGCAACTCGAAACTTATTGAAGGTTCTGATGCTGTTTTCAGCGCTAAGGTTGGCTCTAATCCCAAGCCACGCCTAACTTGGTTCCATAATGGACAACGTTTGGTAGCATCGCAAAAATACGAAACCACTTATTCCAGTGGTATAGCAACGTTGCGTGTTAAGAATGCTACCTACCAGGATGCTGGTCATTATACATTGCTCGCCGAGAATACACAGGGTTGTGTAGTCTCTTCGGCCGTTTTGGCTGTCGAACCAGCTGCCGAAACCACACACGAACCGAAGCCGGTCGATGCGACGGCTGAGCAATTGGAAGCTGGTAAAGCCTTACCACCTACCTTCGTTAAGGGTTACACTGATCGCGAGGTTACCGAGGGACGCATGACACGTTTTGATTGTCGTGTGACTGGTAATCCCTATCCGGAGGTTATTTGGCTGATCAATGGTCGTCCTGTCAAAGATGATGTGTCGCATAAAATACTTGTCAACGAATCCGGTAGTCACTCGCTGATGATTACCAGTGTTAGCCGTTTGGATAGTGGCGCAGTACAGTGCTTGGCGCGCAATAAGGCTGGTGACGTTGCCATCGAAGCGCAATTGAATGTGTTGGAGAAGGAACAAGTTGTCGCACCACAATTTGTGCAACGCTTCAGCACAATGACCGTACGTGAAGGTGAACCCATCACTATGAGCGCCAACGCCATTGGTACACCCGTGCCACGCATTACATGGCAAAAGGATGGTGTGCAGATTAATTCGACTGCTGAACGTTATATCGGTATTGATGGTGGCGCTACATGCTTGGAAATTCCACGCGTCAAAGCCACCGATGCCGGCTGGTACCAATGCACAGCACAAAACATTGCCGGTTCATCTGCGAATCGTGCTAGACTCTATGTAGAAGTACCCAGAGAACAACCAACGCCTGAGCAAAGACGTCTCAATTTGCCACGTCCAACGAAAGTCATCGAACCAGAGTGAGTAAACTAATTCCAACATTTAGTATATATGTAACTTGCAATATCTTAATTTTGTCACTTTCTCTTTTCAACACTAAAGGCCCGTGCCTGGTCCAGAGATAATTTACCTACGTCATGTAGAACGCGCAAAGCCACACTTGCGCCCTGGTGAGGAAGACCGTGTCTACCCACCACCACAATTTATTATACCATTGCAAAATGTGCAACAGGTCGAAGGTAACAGAGTGCATATGGAGGCACGCATCGAACCTGTTGGTGATCCAACTATGGTCGTAGAATGGTACCTGAATGGGCAACCATTGGCAGCAAGTAAGTTAACAGCATACAACCAAATTAATTTTTTCCTATATTAATTTAACTCTCCCTGTCTCATGTAGGCTCACGCGCTACCTCTGTATTTAAGTTTGGTTTCATAGCGCTTGATCTTTTAAGCATTATGACACACGACTCCGGTGAGTACATGTGTCGCGTCACCAATGCGGCCGGTGTTGCCGAATCCCGTGCAATTCTCTCTGTCATTCAGCGTCCCTCTATCGAGCAAAGCTCTCAGAATCCAAATAGTTTGCAATACATCAATCAATTGGAGGATTACTCACGCTATCAGCGTCAGGAGAGCTCTGAGGAACTCATGAAGCAAGCACCCGTATTTATTCGTCCATTAAGAGATTTGGGCGATTTCGAGGAGGGTAAAAATGTGCACTTTGAAGCTCAAGTTACACCGGTTAATGATCCCACCATGCGTGTCGAATGGTACAAGGATGGCCGTCCGATAACTGCGAGCTCGCGAATCACTGCAATCTTCAACTTCGGCTACGTCTCCCTAAACATCTTGCACCTACGGGCTGAAGATGCTGGTTCGTATACAGTGCGTGCAGTTAATCGTGTGGGCGAAGCCACCAGTACTTCGAACATCCGTGTGAACATACGTTCCGAAGTAACCGCCGACTTGGGCATACCCGAACAACAACGTTATATTGAGAAGGTTGAAGAGCTGGAGGACTACAGGAAATCCCAGCAGCGTCGTCATGTACAGGAGGTGCCTGAACCAATTGCGCCACCCCAATTCAAAAGTCCAATCCAAAATCAATTGGACATACGTGAGGGCGCACACGCTCACTTTGAGGCACGTCTTGAGCCCATTGGTGATGCTACTATGCGTGTGGAATGGCTGAAGGATGGTCAACCGCTTGAAGCTAGCTCACGTAGCACAACCTTCTTCAACTTTGGCTATGTTGCACTAACCATTAAGCAACTGACAATTTATGATGCCGGCACTTACACTTGCCGCGCTTACAATGCCATCGGTCAAGATACAACCACCGCACAATTGACCGTTCTTTCAAAGAAGGATATCGTCTCCGATTCTCAACATCCCGGTGGTTTGGAGAAGCTACAACACTTGGAGGACTCAGCGCGTTACGGACGCACTGAGGAGGAAGAGACCAAGGTTACACAAATACCACGCTTCCTTGGTCCAATGAAGGGCACCAACAAGATTTTGGAGGGTCAACGAGCTCACTTCGAAGCACGTGTCGAGCCACAAAGCGATCTTAGCTTGCAAATTGAATGGTACCATAATGGACGTGCCATTAGCGCAGCCACACGTATACAAACCTACCACGACTTCGGTTATGTGGCTCTAGATATCTCACAAGTACGTGCCGAAGATGCAGGCGTGTACACTGTTGTAGCCAGAAATAAGTTAGGTGAAGCACAGTTGCAAGGAACAATGGTAGTAGAAAGTAAGTTGAAATTCTGCTCAAAAGATTTCTGAAGCATTAGATCTAATAAATTTTTTCATTGTTCTACAGCTCGTTCCAGCATAGATACATCTAGCATGCACCGCGGTCTTTACGAAAAGACTCAAAACTTAGAAAACAAACCATTTGTTGAGCCTCATTATGACATCGAAGAGATCTCCAAGTCGAAGCCAATCTTTGTGCAACCACTCTCCGATCACAAACCGATTCACGAAGGCAAAAATATACATTTGGAATGCCGTCTAGAGCCAATGGGTGATCCCACCATGCGTGTAGAGTGGTTCCACAATGGCCGCCCCATTACCGTAGGCTCACGCTTCCGCACTTACTATGACTTCGGTTTCGTTGCATTGGATATTGTACAGGCCATTGCAGCCGACTCAGGCGAGTATACCTGCCGCGCCACGAATCATTTGGGCTCAGCACACACCTCTTCATGTGTACGTATTATTGATCGGTCGGATGTTGTGACCGAAACACAAAACGAAATGTCGTTGGAGCAGATTCACCAACTCGAAGACTCCACACGTCGTCGCCATCATGTCGAAGAAGACATCACCATTATGCAGGCACCACAATTCACACGTCCGCTACATAATATCGAAACTGTTGAGGGCACGAATGTACATTTGGAATGCCGCTTACAGCCGGTAGGTGATCCCAGCATGCGCGTTGAGTGGTTTGTTAATGGTAAGCCCGTTAAGACTGGTCATCGTTTCCGTCCAGCATATGAGTTTGACTATGTTGCGCTCGATTTGCTCGGCTGCTATGCCGTTGATTCAGGTGTGTATACCTGCCAGGCACGTAATCAGCTTGGTGAAGCCGTTACCTCGTGCTCCGTACGCATCATTGCTAAGAGCGATCTAATCTTGGAAACACAGAACGAATCTGGTCTACAGAAGATTGCTTATTTGGAGGATTCCTCACGTTATCGTCGTAGTGAATTCGTTGATGAGATAGTTAATGTACGTCCACGTTTCCTTACACACCCCAAGAGTCTGACCAATACACGTGAGGGTGGGCATGCTCATTTCGAATGTAAAATCGAACCTGTTACCGATCCTAACCTGAAGGTTGAGTGGTTTAAGAACGGTCGTCCCATCACAGTCGGTCATCGCTTCCGTCCCATTCATGATTTTGGTTATGTAGCTTTGGACATTGTTGATTTGATTTCTGAGGATTCTGGTATTTACACTTGCCGTGCCGTCAATTTGATTGGCTCCGATGAGACGCGTGTAGAATTACAATGTCGCAGCAGTGAACAAATTGTTACTGTTACACAAAATGAAGCCGGTCTCGAGCAGATCCATTATTTGGAGGATCGTTCGCGCTATTCGCGTCGTGAAGAAATCGATGAAACTACCAAGCAAGCGCCAGTCTTTACCACTTCTTTGAAGAATGTCGAAATTAAGGAAAATCAGCGCGCACATTTCGAATGCCGATTGATTCCGGTGTCGGATCCAACCATGCGTGTCGAATGGTATCACAACAACTTACCATTGAAATCTGGCTCGCGCTTTACTGAAACCAACAACTTTGGTTTCGTAGCTTTGGACATTATGTCCTGTTTGCCCGAAGATGCTGGCACTTACACTTGCCGTGCCTTCAATGCTGTCGGTGAAGCCATAACCTCAGCTGTTGCTATTGTTCACACCAAAAAATCCATCTACTTGGAATCACAACATGAGAGCGCTTTGCCACGCCTACAACATTTGGAAGATGGCGCTAAACGTCAACGCATCAGCGTACAAGAGGAGGTTGTCAACCAGGCACCAGTTTTTACTTTGCCTGTGCGCGATGTACGCGTCGCCGAAGGTCAAGCCGTACACTTTGAAGCACGCTTGATACCCGTTGGTGATCCACACCTGAAGGTTGAATGGTTGCGTAATGGACAACCCATTGAGGCTTCAAATCGCACCACCACAATGCACGATTTCGGTTATGTTGCATTCAATATGAAGTATGTGAATCCAGAAGACTCAGGCACTTACACTTGCCGTGCTGTCAACGAACTCGGGCAGGCTGTTACCTCAGCTTCGCTCATTGTGCAATCAAAGACTTCGATTCAACTAGAAACTCAACATGAGGCGGCTATGCATAAAATACATCAACTAGAAGACCACAGTCGGTATCAACGCCGCGAAGAGGAAGAATATGTGGTTAGCCAACCACCACGTTTTGTCACGAAACTAATTGGCCCGACCAACTTGGTTGAAGGCCAGAGCGCGCACTACGAATGCCGAATAGAACCATATCCTGATCCCAACCTTAAAGTGGAATGGTTCCACAATGGCAAGGCGTTGAGCACAGGTCATCGTTTCCGCACCACTTACGACTTTGGTTTCGCCGCTTTGGATATCCTTACCGTTTATGCTGAGGATAGTGGTGAATACACCTGCCGTGTTACCAACAACTTGGGCGAAGCTGTCAACTCTATTAACCTCAATGTACAGTCGAGGTCAGGCATCATTCGTGAAACACAACACGAGGAAGCTTTGCAAAAGATCCAGCACTTGGAAGATGAGTCGCGCTATCAACGAAAGGTCGAAGAAGATCAATTCTTGGCCGAACGTCCACAATTCGGACGCCCATTACGCAATGCTAATGTGAATGAAGGCACACCCGTACATCTGGAAGCCACCTTAACACCTGTGAATGATCCAACCATGAAGGTGGAATGGTATTGCAATGGCACGCCCATTCAAACCGGTCATCGCTTCAAGACCACATACGATTTCGGCTTCGTCGCTTTAGATATTTTATACACACATGCTGAAGATACAGGCACTTACATGTGCAAGGCTAAGAATGCCGTAGGGGAAGCTGTCACGACTTGTGCTGTAAACGTAACAGGTAGGTGTCGATCACAAGCACAATGAGATAACTTGTTAAGCAACTAATTTATTTACAGCAAATAAGACATTGGACCTCGACACTATGGATGCCCAGCGTTTGGAGAAGATTCGCCAACTTGAGAATTATGCACCGCCCACTAAAGCCGTAGTGGAAGAGAAGGGTCAAAAACCGATATTCTTAACACCGCTCAGCAACTTGGAACATCTCAAGGAAGGCGAACATGCTCATCTGGAGTGTCGTGTCGAACCAATTAATGACCCTAACTTGAAGATTGAATGGTTCTGCAATGGCAAACAGTTGCCAACTGGTCACCGCTTTAGAACTACACACGATTTCGGTTATGTCGCTTTGGATATATTGTATGTCTATGGTGAAGATACTGGTACCTACATGTGCAAAGCTACAAATTTGCTTGGTGAGGCTGTCAACACCTGCAATGTGCGTATATTGAACCGACGCAGCATGATTCTGGACACCCAGCATCCAATTGCTTTGGAGAAAATCCAAAAATTGGAATCTAAGTCTGCACCGGCACGCACCGAACCTGGTGATTTGCCTATCGGCCCACCACACTTCACAGTCGAACTTCGCGGCACCACCGAGATCTTTGAGGGTCAAACTGCGCACTTTGAGGCACAGGTTGCGCCCGTTCATGATCCCAATTTGCGCATTGAGTTCTATCACAATGGCAAGCCACTGCCATCGGCTTCACGCTTCCACATTACTTTCGATTTCGGTTATGTTTCTTTGGATATTACACACGCAGTCCCAGAAGATGCTGGTGAATATTCCGTCCGTGCTATCAACAATTTGGGTCAATGCGTTTCTTCAACTAGCTTGAAGGTTAACGCACGTGGTACTATTATTTCGGAAAGTCAACATCCTGAAGGTTTGGAGAAGATTCGTAAACTTGAATCGAACGCTCCATTCCAACGTCCCGAAGTAGAAACACCTGGCACCCGTCAACGTCCAGTGTTTACTCAACCACTGCAAAATATCGATCGCATTAATGAACATCAAACTGCACACTTCGAGTGCCGCCTTATACCGGTTGGCGATCCAAATCTAAAGGTGGAATGGTATCGCAATGAGAAGATCATTGAGGATAGCTCACGTATAACCAAGCAACATGACTTCGGATTTGTCTCTCTGGATATTTCACATATTCGCAAAGAAGATGAAGGTGTTTACATGTGTCGCGCTGTCAATCCATTGGGTGAAGCAGTCACTACCGCATCTATGCGTGTAGTTTCTGAAGCCTCAATTCAAATGGATACCCAACATCCAGATAGTATCAGCCGTATCCATCAACTTGAACGCCCATCCGCACCACGTGCTGAAGAACCAGAACGTGCTTTCGAGAAGCCAATATTCACGCAATTACTTACCGGCCCATCAGAGTTATGGGAGGGTCAACATGCACACTTCGAGGCACGCGTTGTACCAGTTGGTGATCCATCACTGAAATTCGAATGGTATATCAACGGTGTTGAGCTGCAAATGGGCTCACGTCTACGCACCACACACGATTTCGGTTTCGTTACACTCGACATTAACGCAGTGGTGCCTGAGGATGCTGGTGTATACATGTGCCGCGCTTATAATGCAGCCGGAGAAGCTGTCTCCTCTACCGCTATGAAAGTTAAAACCAAATCTAACATTGCCGGCGAACCTTTGATTCCCGAATCGTGGGAAGCCATTCGTCTGAAGGAGGCTGCCATGAACCGTGTACCAGAAATGTTTGTAGACACAACACCACAACAGGCTCCAGTCTTTACTACACACTTACAGAGTTACGATAAGCTCTCAGAAGGTCAACATGTACTGCTCGAAGCTCAAGTTGAGCCACGTGCCGATCCAAACTTGCGTATTGAATGGTTCAAAAATGGTATTTCACTTACCACTGGCTCCCGTATACGCAGTACCTTCGACTTTGGCTTGGTTACACTCTCGGTTAATGGATTACGTTCTGATGACTCTGCCATTTACACTTGCAAGGCCACCAACCAAATTGGTGAAGCTGTATCGACATGCAGTCTCAAGATTGAAGATCGTCATTGGTTGCAAGGTGAGTCACTACATCCAGACTCTTTGCCACGCATTGGAGAATTGGAAGCACCCAAACCAGGACGCCCTGAGGCACCAGAACCGGTTTACGAAGTGCCTGTGTTTATCACACATTTGAATAATATCGAATGTAAGGAGGGCGATAATGTACGTTTCGAATCGATGGTCGAGCCCTCTCGTGACCCAACAATGCAAATTGAATGGTCCTACAATGGACAACCGCTACAAGCTGCCGCTAAATTTAAGTCAATTTATGACTTCGGCTATTGCGCTTTGGACTTATCGAACACCTATCCAGAGAATAGTGGTGTCTACACGCTCAAAGCAACTAACAGCAAGGGTTCAGCCACTACATCTGGCACACTCAAGTGCACAGGTGGTAAGACCTTCTACTTGGACACTCAACATCCACAAGGTGAAGCCGGTTTGGAGGCTGTTAGAGAAACTGAAGAAGAATTGGCCAATCGTTATTCGCGGCAAGTTTCTAAGCCCGAAACCCAATATCCAGCACCAGTTTGGACCAAACCATTGCAAGCTGAGTTCCATCTCTCAGAGGCACAAGCCTTACATTTGGAAGGTAATGTTGAACCTAAGGAAGATCCCAATCTCTTCATTGAATGGTACTTCAACGGCAAGATTCTACAACATGGCTCACGTTTCAAGATGACTAGTGAATTCGGTTTCGTCACCATGGACTTAACTGAGGTCTACGAACGCGATCAAGGTATTTACACATGCAAGGCATACAACAAGGCTGGCGAAGCCTTCACCACTACCACCATCTTCTGCACTAGCAAGGAAAGCATTATCGAGAAAACACAACATCCAAAGGGTGCTGAAGGTTTGGAACAAATTCAAGACTTGGAAGAATCACTACGTAAGGATGGCACAAAACCAGAGAAACCAGAAGAAGGTATGGCACCACGCTTCACCACCGAATTCATTGACATCAAGGATGTTGGTGAGGGTGAGATTGCTCACTACGAAGCCAATCTTGTGCCAACTGGTGACCAAAGTATGGTCATTGAATGGTTCTATAATGGTAAAGTTTTGGAGGCTAGTCATCGTGTGCGCACCATCTACGCTTTCGGCATGGTAGCTTTGGAAATTCTTGGCACCAAGATCGAAGACTCAGGCACCTACACTTGTCGTGCCACCAATAAATATGGCAGCGCTGAAATTAGCTGCGTTCTTGAGTGTGTTGAAAAGCCGCGTGGACAGAAACCACGTTTCACCTCACACATTCAATCATTGGAGGGACTCAAGGATGGACAGTCGGCTCATTTCGAGTGCACACTCATACCAGTCAATGATCCTGAACTTAAAGTTGAGTGGTATCACAACGGAAAACTGTTACGCCACTCCAACCGCATTAAGACCGTATCCGATTTCGGTTATGTTGTTTTGGATATTGCTTATTTGCAAGACCACGACAGTGGTGAGTATATGTGCCGCGCCTACAATAAGTATGGTGAAGATTTCACACGCGCTACACTCAACTGCGGCGGTCGTGGTGGCGTCTTCTATGACAGTTTGCAACCTGATTCACTGCCAAGAATTCGTGAACTTGAATGCCCACAAGGACAACAGGCTGATACCGGTGCACCAGTGGTCACTGAACCACCTAAATTTATTACACAAATTGCTGATATCACAAAACTGGTTGAGGGACAGAGTGCGCACTTTGAAGCACGTCTTACACCGGTCACCGATCCAGATCTTAAGGTCGAATGGTATTTCAATGGTAAGAAGTTGCCACATGGTCATCGTTTCCGCACCTTCCACGATTTCGGCATTGTAATCTTGGACATCTTGTATTGTTACGAAGAAAATTCCGGTGTATATGAATGCCGCGCCGTCAACAAGTACGGTGAAGATGTGACACGCGCCACGCTGAAGTGCACTTCCAAGGCCAACTTGATTCTGGACTCACAACTGCCACGAGTAAGTATTTCAAATTAAAATTTCTTAAAAAGAGGTCAAAATAGTGACTTTCTCCTTTATTCTTATACACTTCTACAGGGCATGGAAGGCGGTTTGGAGAAGATCGCTAACCTCGAATACAGCATGGTTCGTACACGCGACGAAACTGTTGAGGAAACCAAGGGCAAAGCACCCGTTTTCACCGTACCACTCGAGAATATCGACAATATGCGTGAAGGCGAGAATGCACATTTCGAGGCACGCGTCACACCCACCGACGATCCACGCTTGCGCGTTGAATGGTTCTGGAATGGACGTCCACTTAAAGCTGGCTCACGTTTCCGCACATTCTGCGACTTCGGTTTTGTTATTTTGGAGATCTCACCTGTTTATCCCGAGGACTCTGGCGAATATTCTTGCCGTGCTATCAATGAATACGGTGAGGCTGTAACCACTGCCACCATGAAGATACAAGGCAAACGCAGCATTATCATGGAATCTCAACTGCCCAAGGGTATGGAAGGTACTATTGATCGTATTGCCGAACTTGAGGGTCTGGGTGGACGAAGCACAGAATTCGTGCCTGAAGATGACAGTGGCAAGCCACCAGAATTTATTACAACACCATTTGATATGGTCATCACCGAAAATTCGCTGGCACACTTCGAATGCCGCTTGCAGCCAGTTAATGATCCAAGCATGCGTGTCGATTGGTTCCACAATGGTAAAGCTTTGTGGGCTGGTTCGCGCATCAAGACAATCAATGATTTTGGTTTTGTCATTTTGGAAATTGCCGGTTGTTATCAACGTGATACCGGTTTGTACACTTGCAAGGCCACCAATAAACATGGTGAGGCGACAGTTTCATGCAAATTGCAAGTCAAAGGCCGTCAAGGCATTATCGTAGAACCGCAATTGCCTTCGAACTTCCGCACCGGTACTGAAAGCTTACAGAAATTGGAGGAGAGCATGCATAAACGTGAAGAAATCATCATCGATGAGGAGCAACCAAATCCACCTAAATTCATTGAGGAAATTAAGGATAACCTCGATGTGCCCGAAGGTGGTCCAATACACTTCGATTGTCGCGTTGAACCTGTTGGCGATCCCACCATGCGCATTGACTGGTTCTACAATGGGCGTCCTATGCCCACTGGCTCTCGTGTACATCAGCTCAACGATTTTGGCTTCATCGCTATGGATATCGACTACATTTATATACGCGATGCTGGTGAGTACACTTGTCGCGCCACCAACAAATGGGGCACTGCCACCACCACTGCCAAGGTTACTTGCAAGAGTAAGCATAGCATTGTGTATGATACACAATTACCTGATGGCATGACGGCTGAGAAGTTGAAGGAACTTGAACGTGGTCGCATACCCGATGTACCCAGGATTGAGGAACCCGATTTCGGCCCACCAGAATTCATTACGGAAATTCAAAATGTAACCGCTGAAGAATCCGAACCCATGCGCTTCGAGTGCCAAGTGGAACCGAAAACCGATCCCAATTTACGTGTGGAATGGTATCGCAATGGCAAGTTGTTGCCCAGTGGTCACCGTTACAGAACCATTTTCGATATGGGTTATGTGTCACTTGATATTCTTTACGTCTACGCTGAAGACTCTGGCGAATATGTTTGCCGTGCGGTGAACAAACATGGCGAGGCGCGCACCAAGGCGACAATTTCATGCAAGAGTAAGTAGACAGCACAGAGTAATACTCCAAAATATTTAACTAATGACCATTTATTTTCTGCTTAAAGAACTACCAACAATTATGCTGCAAAACCAAGTGCCACGTGGCATGAAACCCAATGAAACACTCACTCAAATGGAGGCCACCATTAAGAAATATACTTCAGAAGTGCACCTGACTGAAGATGATCTCTTCGATCCGGATCGCAAGCAACCACCACGCTTCGTTACACAAATCAAGGATCAGACCACACTTACCGAAATGGCAAAAACTAAATTTGAATGCCAATTGGCGCCAGTTGGTGATCCGAACATGAAGGTTGAATGGTTCTTCAACGGCAAGCCATTGTTGTACAGTGAGTATCAGTTTTCTCTAAAGGTTTCGAAAACTATACATTTTCGCTAACTTTTTACTTCGCATCTCGCAGAGAATCGCTTCCAACCTATCTACGATTTCGGTTATGTGGCCATGAACTTTGGCTGGGTCTATCCGGAGGACAGCGGCGAATATGTGTGCCGTGCCACCAATCTCTACGGCAAGGATGAGACTCGCGCAATCATTAAGATCTCTGGCAAGCCTGGCATTGTCTACGACTCACAGCTGCCAGCTCATATGCAGGAGACATCTATACAGCGCATTCGCGAAATGGAAGCATCTTGGCAAGTGTAAGTAACGTGCTTAACTGAATACCGGTTTATTTTATTTTTTTATAATAAATGGTAGTTTATAAACAGTATGGCTGTTAGGAGTTGCCGCCTTTTTCAAAATTTATCTGATTTATAATTTAGCAAGTGAAGTAGTCATTTGTAAAATGAAGTTTTTTGATAACTGATTTTCAAAAGCTTTTTAAAACCTCTGTAATTCATCAACCAAAAAATTCGGGTTGCCATTCTAACTATTTTAATACAGATTTACATTCATATAATTAAACATTATCACAATATGCAAATGTAGAGGTACCACTTCAAAATTTCTTCAATATTAACAAACAGTGTTGCCATATTTTTATTAAAAAATTTTAATATTGAATTTTTTTCATTACCAATAAAATATCTTAAAAAATGTAATTCGGTCTGGCAACACTATTTTTTAATTTCAACCATAATTAATTACTAATATCAATTAAATAAAGTACCGATTCTCTCAATTAGATATCTCTATATCTAATATCGTATTAGCAGCGCTGCCATTTTTTATCAAATAAAAAAGGTGCAAAATTAGTTTTTTAAACCAAATTTTTAGAAAATAATATATAGTATCTTTAAGAACAATAATGATGTTAGCAGAGTTGCCATATTTTTTCAAAAACAATTGACAAACTTAATTTTGCACACCAAATTTTTTGAAAATAATATATAGAATTTTTAATAACAATATTCGGTTTGGCAGAGTTGCCATATTGATTTAAAAAAAATTGACAAACTTAATTTTTTACACCAAATTTTTAGAAAATAATACATAGTATAATAAAAAAAGAAGAGATAAATTTTTTTAAGAAACTAAATTAAATATTGCCTTATTAAACAATAGATAGATTTCGATTATTCGATAGACTTTGAAAAATTAATTTCCTTAAAACTAGTGTCCTAGGAATTTTCTGATTGTGAACTTTCCTAGTCAATGAAAAACGAAAATCTAAGAAAAACTTTCAAAATTTCTCAAACATTAACAATCTCGTTATCAAAATATTATTTTCACAGTGTACCAGAGGAGGTCGATCCCGATGCAAAACCACGAACCAAACCAACTTTCGTCAGCAAATTAGAACCACAAACCGTTGAGGAGGGCGAACCCGCACGTTTCTGTGTACGTGTAACTGGCCATCCACGTCCCAGAGTTATGTGGCTCATCAACGGACACACCGTTGTGCATGTAAGTCAACACAATAAAAAAAAAACGAAATAGTAATTATGATAACAGTTACTAACGGCAATTCTTTCATAACAAACAGGGCTCACGTTACAAGCTAACGAACGATGGAATGTTCCATTTGGATATTCCAAAAACACGACAATACGACACAGGCAAAGTCGAAGTGATCGCTAGAAATTCGGTTGGCGAATCGATCGCCACCACCGAACTGAATGTGGTCGAACGTTCAGATGATTATCGCGGTGTATTAAAGAATTCACCACGTCGTAAGTACACGCTGGATACCTTATGTACATTTACTTACATAGCACTACAGAAATTAACACAACTACTCTTAGCTTTTCTAATACGAAATTAGTTTATAAAAACAAAATTAAAAAATAAAAATATTTTTAAACACTAGTATAGACAGTTATGCACTCCAAAAACAATAACAAAAAGACTTTGTAATATATATATATACGCATTTATTTTTCAATACTCACAAACGAATGTAGTTTATAGGTGTTCTCTTTTGAAACAAATTCAAATTTACTACTTTTTCAATAACAAAAAATACATTAAGCATTGTATATATATACATAAACATTTTCACCACGACCACAACCAAAAAACCACCATTGGAAGCGTATTTTATTATATTTGACCAAACTAAACACGCTCAAAAATATATTCAAAGCAATAGGTAACCAATAGGTAATCCTAAATGTAAGCATTTTTCAAAATGCTAACGGTAAAAATCAGCGTGTTTCAAAAACTTGCAAGCTTAAGACTCTTTCCAAGCACACAAACGATTATTGCATTTGTGATAGCCACAATACTCCAGAGCACTGACAGAACCGCATTTATTTTAGTCTTTATAAAAATTTAAAAAAAATTTCCAACAACTCGACACAAATTTTCGTAAATGCGAATATACATATATGTAATATATACAAAAAAAATATTTCAACCCAAATATTATATAAGGCTACTCAAAACTACAATTTAACAATCACCAACGAGTAGCACTATACTACTGTCGCTCTCTCTACAAAAAGTTAAGAACATCAAAACTCAGAGCGTAAGCAATATTCTGACAATTTTCAAAATAGCGAATTACCGTTAAGTACCATAGTTATTATTTAAATCAACACACACAAACACGCAAGTGCTTCCTACACACACAATGAGATCTGAAAAAACTCCCATACCGACTCCTAAATGCCATATATCCTGATATATCCTTCTCCGAGAAAATCCCCAAAAAATTACACGTCCAAGCTGCTTTCTATCCACGAAGTACTACCACTCCAGCCTGCTGACGCTTTTGGATGAGCGCAACGTCTCTAGCTGACTCAATGCGGAGTTTCGATGCAACGCTAAGGTTTATAATTATATACTCTGTGTGTCATTAAAAGCAGTAATGTTGTAAATGTCTATGTAGTACTTGTTTGGTTTAGTGTATAATCAGTGAGTATTTTGTACTTAACATGGTTTTTTGCAGTGTGCTGTAGAGATTTTTGGTAAAAATGTTGTTTACTTTTTTGTATAATTTTCGAAAATCACAAGCTTTTTTGAGGCATGTTGGAAGAGTTCGCTCATGCACTCTCTGTCTTTATCTTTCACTTTGCTTTACACAAACGCTCTCTTTCTCTCTCTATCGCTGTCTTTCTTTACTATGTGCTCGTTCACTATCCGTCGAACGATATACCTTTCTATATGTTTTAAATATTTTTGGGTATTTTCAAAACCATTTAATTTAGTATCGTGAATTTATAATTCACGAATTTATAAAATAAAAAAAACATCCATTCACTCAAAGACCTATCTTTATCATAACATTAGCCCCAACTTCAATGAAGGCTTAATTGCATGCTTTCTCTGAACCATAAATCACCAAATCACAACTCGTCTTTTAACTTTTTTTTTTTTAAGTATTTGCATGTTTCTTGCATGAATTCGTTTGTGATAAATTTAAGCATTATCATTAGCCATCTTCGATTCGCCAGTATTTGAAAAGTGACGAATCAAACAGGCAACTAGCATAAACCGAATAAACTACCATAGCTGTGTATAGCTTTTTATATTAGCCACCCAAGCTTCAATCAAAAAACTTTTTAATTGATTTTAGATATAAGCTTTTTGCCCCTAAAATTAGCGAGCAGCAGAAAAATTGCGAATCGAAGACGGCTATTCTATGATTTAGAAAAACATTAGGTCGATGTGATCAAAAAAGTGGTGAATAATAGTTTAATACCTCATTAAAATGAGGATCTTTAAAAATGTTGGCTTTATCAAAGTAAACTTCTTATAAAATGTCAAGCAGTATTTACATAATACTATGAGTAAGAAGGTAGAAGTTCAAGTTTGAGAAAATTCGTTGATTACAGAACTTTAATAAAGCCTTTAATGCTATAAGAAACCATACATATCCGAAGAAAGATACTTTAATATGAAATGATGCATGATCCAAAAATCATAACGTAAACCAATTTTTGGATCCCTCACATAAAATTTGAAAGCTCAAATCTAGATTTTAAGCTCTCACATATAATTTGAAGCTCAAATTAAACCATTAACTGAAAGAAATGTAAAATATATGCATGTTTGTTCCAAATTAGTTTTTAAACGTCAAATGTTCCGAAACCAGGTAAGATCCACTATGTTAGAACCAACCTCGGATCGTTAAACGTAAATTAGTAAAATGTATATTTTAGTTTTTTTTCGCTTAAAGTTTTACTACTACTTTCTGCGTAATTCTAAGTATTGCTTTAAAGCTGTAATTTATAAATACCCACAAAAATATATACCGACTACTTGATTCACCGTATCTACTAATTTTCCTGCCTACAGCTTGGTATGACTATGAGCTAACTGCTTATCAGAAGGAACGCCAAGAAACCGAGCTGGAGAAGATATTCGATGAGCGCAAACAATATTTGGCCGATCAAGGTAAACCACTAAAGGGTGTTGAACACTTGAAACCCAAACAACTCAAACCCGAAACACCCGAATGGCAACAAACCGTTAATGCCAAACGCAGTGAGGATTACTATAGTAAATTGCAAGAATTAGAAACCGAGCAATTGCTGAAGGAGACCAATTTGCGCAAGGAAACTCATCAATATGCGATACCCGGCGAGAAGGTTGTGCAGAGTTCTGCTGCCAAGGGCATGGCCAAGTCCTACGAAGAGAATCTGTAAGTTTACAAAACACAAAATTTCACTTTCAATGAAGCGATGCTAAGTATCTTCCCTCCATACATTTTAATTTTTAGGGAAGAGCAGTCCACAACAACAACCACGGCAGCTGCTAAGAAGATTGTAAATAAACCACCAGTTGAACCCGCTGAATCCTCGGTGCATGGACGTGAAGTCTTTATGAATAAGCAACAACAAACACAGAAGGAAGTTGTTGGCGATTTGGAGATTACACGCAAGATTACTGCTACCGAAACTACGGAAATGGAGCATAAGGGCACCGTGCAGGAGCGCGTTGTCAAGGGACCCGTGCAACCCTCGAAACCACCAGTGTTCACCAAGAAGATACAACCATGCCGTGTGTTCGAAAACGAGCAGGCTAAATTTGAGGTGGAATTCGATGGCGAACCAATGCCCACCGTTAAGTGGTACCGTGAAAACTTCCCCATCAAAAATTCACCGGATTTGCAAATCCACACCTTCAGCGGCAAATCCATACTGATCATACGCCAAGTGTTCGTCGAGGACTCGGCTGTATTCTCCTGTATTGCAGAGAATCGTGGAGGCACTGCAAAGTGCAGCGCCAATTTGGTGGTCGAAGAACGTCGTCGTGCCGGCAAGGGTGGCCTAACACCACCTAGCTTTGTGAATGTGATTCAAAGCACCACTGTTGCCACTGGACAATTGGCACGTTTCGACGCCAAGGTAACTGGCTCACGTCCGATGGATGTCTACTGGTTGAAGAATGGGCAAAAGGTACAGCCAAGCATCAAATTCAAAATGCTTGAAGAGGACAATGTATACACACTACTCATTATTGAACCATTTGCTGAAGATTCAGGCCGTTATGAATGTGTTGCCGTTAATGTAGCCGGTGAGGCACGTTGCGATGCCGATTGCATTGTTCAATCGCCGACTAAGCCAGATAAGCCCACAACACCGGGCAGCGAGAAACCCCCACATATTGTAGAGAAATTGAAGAGTCAATCGGTGGAAGAGGGTAGCAAAGTAATCTTCCGTTGTCGCATTGAGGGTAAACCCACACCAACAGCACGTTGGTTGCGTGGTGAGAATATTGTGAAGCCATCGCGCTACTTCCAAATGACACGTCAAGGGGAATACTATCAACTGGTGGTCTCTGAAGCCTTCCCTGAGGATGAGGGCACTTACAAGTGTGTCGCAGAGAATAAGCTGGGCAGTATTCAGACCAGCGCTCAATTGAAGGTGCGTCCAATTGAGAATCTCGACGCCCCACCAACCATTACCGCACTGAAGGATGTCTCCGTGTCGGAGGGTATGCCAGCACAATTCAAGACCACCGTTACCGGTAAAGTGAAGGCGACCAGTGTGCAATGGTTCCGTGAGGGTTCTCTTATACCGGAAACTCCTGACTTCCAAGTGAGTATTTTGTTATGGTTCATATTTTGATAACCTATATTGATAGTATGAATACAAAAACAAATCATAGACTTTATAAATGTATATAAATGTTAGATAAACATATTAAGGGGTATCCTTCTTTTTGAGTATAGAGAAATATCGAATATAAATTTCTAAGTTTCAGAGGCCTCTTAAGGAATTTAAGTACAGAAAATATATATGACAGTTCTCCTTATTTAATAAAAAACATATTTAAATTCTCTTACCGAAATTATGCGAATTATAACCTACGTGCTAGTAAATTCTTATTAAGAACTCTATAAAATAGTGGACCCGTTTGAATTCTCCGCAACTTATATTAGTTTGTCAAAAAAGTCTTGCGGTATTTTCGCTAGTTGGCGCTGAGAGCGTGTAGTTCTAGTTTTATTCGTCGCATCGGGTCATGCTATACCTTTTTGGAAAGCTCATCTCACGCGCTAACACGTGTTTGATTGATTGTCGTTTCTTTTAAGTCGTTCGTGAGTTATAGCGTCGCAAACATGGAGCAAAATAAAGAGAAAATGCGGCATATTTTACAGTGCTACTACGATAAAGGCAAAAATGCATCTCAAGACGCCAATAAAATTTGTGCAGTTTATGGACCGGATACAGTTTCCATTTCCACCGCACAACGATGGTTTCAACATTTTGGTTCTGGTGTAAAGGTGGTCGAAGATGTGCCACGCTCCGGAAGACCTGTCGTCGAAAATTGCGATAAAATCGCTGAATTGGTCGCAAGAGACCGGCATAGTAGCAGCCGTAGCATCCGTTAAGAGCTGGACATGAGTCATCAAAACAAAGTTTATGAACAATTGAAAATTCAATAAAAAAAAATACCGCAAGACTTTTTTGACAACCTATTATATACTTCTGCTGAATATATTAATATTTTTAACAACTTAAAATTCTGAAAATATGGAAATCTGTATACCATTTGCTTGTTCGATTCACTAGTTCTTGAAATCTCTTGGTTATATGTCAAGTTCACATGCCAAAAATACTTAAATCCGCTCCGTACAATGTTATGGTCATAACGACTTTGAAAATTCTCTTTTTCTGAGTCTATTAAACATTTTAATTCTCATCGCTACTTGAGCATTTTCTCAACGCATTTAGTCTGATATTAGAAAGGATTTTTACCTCAATATTCAGTACTCCTAGGGCAAAGAAAAAACCTTTCTAAAACTACAAGTCTTCGGTAATCTGCTGTTACATAACTGGAAGAGTTAGTTTCTAAAGGTCACAACTTGCATTTGTAGAACAAATCAAATTATACGGTGGATAATATACATACAAACTAAACAAGTCTAAAACTGATATATTAAAAAAATATTTTGAAGGGGGTTGCCACTTGATTGAAAATTTATCGCATCAAAATTATTGCGAACACAAATTTTTACAAATTGCCTATCAAAGTAACAACATTTAAGAATGTTAAAACTATTTTTAAAAGGGATTGCCACCTATTTACAATTTTTAATCTGACAAAAATCCTCATATGGCAAAATAGATTGAATTGCGCAGTATGGATAATAAACTAATCAGATATAGGAAAAAAGAGTTGGAAAAATTTATGATGGCGTTGCCATCTGTTTAAAATTTTAGCTCAATAACATATTAAGGACACAAGTGGTCCGCATTGTAGACGCTTAACTGAAGAGACCTACAAATACTATAAATATTTTTATAAGAAATTGCCACCTGTTTAAAATTCGGTCAAAATGTTTAGTTTGCTAAAATAAATGAAATTACACACAAAGCACAAAACTGTATGTTGAGATAAACTTTTGTCGAAATGTATTTGAAAAATGTTGCCACCTGACTGAACATCTTTCATTTGATTAAATTATAAAAAAAAATGTACAAAATGAGCAACAAACTGAATATATTTAGGAATAATGTTTGGAGAAAATATTTTTTAGAAGTTTTGCCACTTTTTTAAAATTATGAGGGTGATCCAATTGTATTTGACAAGTGTTGCCACCTGCGATACAAATTTTCAATTGAAAAAATAAATGAAATTGTACCAAATGAGCAACAAAAATATATATTTAGGAATAATTTTCAAGAAATGTTCCCACATGCGTGAAAAATTTTCGTTTCTTGAAGTAGACGAAATTGTATACCATGAGGAATAAAGTAAATATATTTGTAAATAATTTTAGCTAAAAATATTTTTGACAGGTGTTGCCACCCGTTTATAATTTTTAAGTCTGGAATGTAATATGGGTACCAAAAAGAAGATTTTAAATTAGATCAAATACATAGAAATATATTGGTATTCCCTAAATTTTTTTTATTTATTTACTATTTACATTTTAATTGCAGATGATCTTCGATGGAAACAGTGCCGTATTACTTATTGGAACAACTTATGAGGAGGACTCAGGCATATTCACCGTACGCGTAACCTCATCAACTGGACAGGTCGAGTCATCAGCTAAGTTGACTGTTAAAAGTAAGGATTGAATTAATAAGAAATTTACAAACAAAAAACAAGCAAACGAAAAGCAAATATTATAGTGAACGCATATGCAAAAAAAAAAACGTTAACGGACGTAGGCTAAAACGTAAACCGAAAGGAGTTCTTAGCTAATCCAGAAAAAAATATTCAAATTACAAAATAAGAACAACAATAACAAAACCCGAAAACGTTGATGAAGAGAAAAAACAAACCCAAAAAAAGAACTTTCAAAACAAAGTGTTCACTTTAAGTAGTATGAGACATATTTTAAAGAATACCCGCAATTACTAGTCGTAAAAAGTTTGAAACAATATTAAGAAAATTTTTCTGCAACCACTTACCTTTATAAATATTAATATCTTATTATTATGCAAAAGTAAAATTTATACAAAAAAAACATAAAACGAATTTAAAAAATTTATATAAAAATTAAAAAAACATTTTTATTACTAATTTAAATAATAATAATAAAAAGTGCGCAATTGACAAAAACAAAAAAATAAAAAATATCGAAAATCAAAATGAAAAAACTAAATTTAATTTTGTCAAGTTAAATATATATGAAAAATTGCTCGATTATTTAGTGGAAAGCAAAAGTTGAGTGCCACAAACGCGGCCACAGCAAGTGCTCAATTGTGGAATGTATGTGTACAATAGATTCCACATTGTATTTTCCATTAAAATGTTGCATAAACACACAAGCAGGCGAGTGAATGAGCATACAAACATAAGTTGTGGAATTATTAATTTGCTCAAGTAGTGTAGTACAGGGCGTATGAGCAACATTTTATAATTTTACTCAAAAAGTCAAAAACTTACATACATACATACGAGTACATACTAAATATCAGGCCACTGCGTGCATTTGAGACTAAAAAGTAAAAAATTCTAATTCTAGCGCACACACACGCATAATTTCTTTATGAATGTGGAGAAGATATTGTGAAGCGCTTATTAGAAAATTGGGCAGCGAGCAGAAATTTAAAAATTCGAAAATTTTTACTTAGTGCCGTGCGCAAAACGCACATTCATTTTAACAAAACAACACAACAACAACAATAATAATAATGAAAGAAATTAAAAATACAAAGCGACTGACTACAACATTTTTCTGTCATCAACAATGTTTAGGAACACACGGACCACGGACCTACTTCGAAAAGAAGCACATTTGTACATAAGCACGTTTGTAGCTTGCTACACTCAGCGCGCTTTATTGGTAATAAGTTGAAATATTAGCAGGATGCTTGTGCATATGTAGATATGTATGTATATAATAGGTATATACATATATATAATAATAATAATGGCATATAATTTTTAATGACACTGCCAACAATTATTAAACATTATTGCCAAATGTATAGTGTCCGGGCAATAACTGTAAATTCCATTGCATTGTTGCACTAAGTATTACAATGACTAGACGCCGTGTATACATATAAATATACATATATACATATACATATATATGCATTGTAACACGATTTTGGACACACCTGCCTAACGGGGTGCATCACTAAAAAAAATTGAAAAAAAAAAATCAGCAAAAGGGGAACAAATGTTTCGTGCGCAAAATTTAGGTTGTTGCGGCACCCCCCTGCACTCCTCCTTCCGCAGTTCCGCAGCTCAAAACACACAAAACCACTAGCTAAGTGTGCATTAAATACACATAGTTGCATACGCTCAGGTATATATAGTATGTGTGTGTGTGAGTGTGCGCGTGTGTGCTTTGTATGTAGTCATGTACAGTCATGCATAAAAATATGCGTTCATATTGTGGAAACAACATAAATTTTGACATGAAGTAGCGTAACGCGCGCAGTCAAATTAAAAATGAAATGAATGCTCGCCCGCCTGCTATTCTTAGCTCATCCATATTGCCGTGTGTGCGGCTGCTGATAGGAAAGTCTTCGTCGATACATACATATGTACAATGTATTTAGGTATCTTTGTAGCTGAGCGTACGTGCGAAATTGAATATTGATCGATAACGGTTAAAACGGCAAATCAATTATTTAAAATTTTTTGGAAATTTTTATATTTTGAAAATTTACAATTTTTTGGGAATTTTTATTTTTTGAAAATGTTTAATGTCTTGAAAATGTTTAACTTTTTGAAAAATTGTATTTTTTAATGAAAAACTTAT